CGTCATTGTTGTTTAGATTTGGCTCGATATTCAACATGGGACGACTTCTCATTGACGATTTCCAAAGTGGGTTTGAAAGAGGTGCATGGTGGCAACGCCTTTTACATGGATACAGTATTACAACATGGTTGGTGGTTTTGAATCTTGGAACAACTGGGCTTTTGGTATCATGGTTAATGAAGTATGCTGACAATATTGTGAAGGTATAGTCTTTTTTTTCACCTGCCTTTCCTTCTTTAGATTGCTTATGCTTTCTAATGGGATTGGCTCATTCTAAAGGGTGGAGGACTTCTGTATTCAGATTAAGTACACTTTTCAACCACTTGGCACCAAGTTCACCATTCATTGAAGTGCATTTACTTCATTTATATTAGTTACACTTGTTATTTTGTAATTAGTGAAACGAGCAACCTAGGTACAATCCAGGCTCAGGTGGCTTCTTAAAACATACTCAGATACTCTATATAACTTTACTCTGTCATATGGTTGTTATCAAGATGAACTTAGATGTATTATTAAAAGTTAAATAAGGTTGAACTTTAAAGTCATCGTTGACATTAGGATACATGCCTGATTAAACTGAACAAATGTTAGTGTATGATGATTATTGGCTGTATGACTTGTATTCCATCTCCATCTGTCCCCTTTTTATTTAGCTCATTTGACTTCACACGTAGTTTAAGACTATGAAATTGTGCTGTTGAGATTTATTTAGAAAGGAAAGAAATCAAAGAATCAATATCAACCTTACCGCTCTTTCCTAAGAAGAAAATGGGAAGATGATTAAAAGGAAACTGGACAGCCCAATAAGAGTAGAGACTGGAGAGTAAATAGAAAGGGTGCAGAGGGTGAGAGGGAGTATTGATTTTTCTACCAAATATAAACTTGAATCAAATTTGCGCATTTTTTCTTTTTGTAGGTATACTCCACATCTATGGCAATGCTTTTAACAATGTTATTATCAGTGGTCCTATTCAATTTCAAGCCAACTGTTCAAGTAAGTTACATTGCTTTTCTCTTCCCCTATCATTACATTTGCATATAGGCTATAGGTCTGGGCGTGAGGATAATGTGTTTTGATATCTTGTTCATCAGTTAAAATTATCCCAATGACTGCCATAGTTCCCTGTAATATTTGTCAAAGATTTCATGCAGAGATGCTACATTTCAACTACTCGGCATTAAAATCTTTAATGTATGATAATTCATCTTGAAACCATTATTTTGTCATATTGCTTTAGAAAAGAAATCTATCGTTAATTATACTACTTTTTAATATGCATATTTTTATAATTCTCCGGTCACAATGTGCAGCTGTTTTTGGGCATTGTTATCTGCATGATGTCACTACATATGTACTTTGCTCCCCCAAACACGCTGGTGGATTTGCCTTTGACAACAAAAGCTGCCCCTGAGAACATAGCTGAAGTTTCTGTTGACCAAAGAACAGTTTCGTGATGTGTTGTATATGCAGCATTGAGGCAGCTGTACACATGGGTGTGTTTCATCTCCAATCTCATTCTAACTTATGAAAGTGATGATATGGATGCTTCTCCAGTCAATCAAACTGACGTTAAAACCATATGGAATCAAAAGGGTTTGGATTCCACGAGCAGACAGGGTGGATTAACTCTGTGTTGGTTCAACAAAATCTTGGAGGAGCAAACTTGTTACAATATTATGCATTTATTGCATGGTGTCCAGTTGCTGCTCATTAGATTGAACAATGGATAACTGCCAGATTACTTTGTTTCAATCTGCAGCTAGTAATGGTTGTTGTAGATGATGATCTATTTAAGGTTCTATTTTTCATGTTCTGTTGATTAAATCATCTTATCTTGAAAACAGGCGTTATTCACACAAATTAACTTCTTCTGGGTTTGGGTTGTAGTGTTGTACTAAGGGTTTGTTCTTTTTCTGTTTTACTTATTATTATCATCCAATTTAGCTCTCTTTAAAGAACCAATTTAATGCAAAATAAAATGTGTGATTAAAACAAAACTCATAATAGTGATAAATAAAAAAAATATCTGACCACTGCTAAATTGCTAATAAATGATCTTCAAAGATTTTGAAAACTAAACATCAATCATGTGTCCAAACCACATCATTAAAAGATAGTAGACTGTAATTCAGTAATACCAATACTAGCAAGAACTTGTGCTCAGTATTTAACTACTAATCAGTGTAATCACACAATTTGACCCAATCTTTTTCAAAGAGCAGTAAATATTTCATCTAAAATTGATCATCTAATTTAGGATAAGTTTGGCACAACTAGAAAATTATTGTGAATAATTATTGCTGAAAGTTGCAATCTTTCTTTCATAAATTACTGAATGTAGTTTCTCAAAAAGATATTTTATTTTTATAAAAATTCTTAAAAATTTTAGTGACAAATAGACAACTAGAAATTTTTAGTCATTTTAAATGGTACAAAAGGTAGAAAGTAGAAACTTATTCTCAATATATAGATAAAGGATTGTGTACCGAAGATATGACTTGAAATACTTTTAAATTAGCGTGTGGAAAATACTTAATAATTTTGAAAATAATTAGTGTCACTTCATTATTTAAATTTTAATCATCCAAATTAAATTCTATGATTCCTAATTAAATTCTCATTTTTAATTCATGAATTTTAGGCAAAGAAAACTACTCTCCTAATATGGATTTCATTAAAATCACAATAAAAAAAGTACTTGATGATGTTCTATTCATACAAATAAGAATTTATTACTCAAAATTTACAAAATAGGTAGATTGAACTTAAATTATAGACATATAAAGTAAGAACTTCATTAATATACTGAGGGATTCTGTATTTTATAAAATTGATGGGACTCTAAAAAAGAAATGACACCTCATTCCTAAGGTCCCTCAATAAAGGGGCACTGAAAAGATGTAAATTGTCTTTGCTTAGACTTGAACCTAAAATTTTTCCCTTATGACACCCCTTCCCGCCACGTGAGTTATACCCCAAATTGACAGAACCCTATAACTTCTATGAGATGGGGAATTGGTTGAAGCTCAAAGCCTCATAGGTTCTCCGATTCTGACTAGAAATTCTTCTCGTACACACTTTAGTATTATACACTTTTACACGTTTGTGAAGATTTTTCTGTGATTAACATATTTTGTCTGTGAACAGACTATTCACAGATAGGCATGGACGGGGCCCGGGTTGGGCCGAGCCCCGGGCCGGGATTGGGCGGGACTGGGGTTTTGGGATGAAGGCCCGGGTTTGAACTGAAACCAGGCCGGGTCAGGTCAATTTTTTTATTTTTTAAATTAGTATTTTCGAATTTATTCCTACCCCACCCCAAACCCCGCCAAAACACCCAGCCCAACCCACCTAGCAGCAGCCCAATCGTGGTCCACTAAAATCAGGGCCTGTAGCATGCCCCATAAACAACCCGGTTCGGGCCCCCAGTACCGCCTGGTCAGGCCGAGTAGAGCCTGCACAATACTGGGCTGGCCAACCACTCCCGGCCCATCCCTATTCACAGATACACAAATGTGTAAAAATGTGTACAAAATCAAAGTGTTTACCAATTACCAATTTACCATTCAAAACTGAAATTGGCGCCTGTTCAGTGCTTTTCCCTGTTAGGTTCTGAAACAGAACCGAATTCACTCATATTTAAAAGTGTTACAGTTACACCGAACGAAAATTAGTTATTCTCATTTCATTCTATCATTCTATGACACGAATATTTAAACAACTCGTAGATTAGCGTCTCAAATTAGCAAGTGAAAGACATTGGTGATTGGTGTTAATTGCTCATCGTGCACAAGAGAGGGGTTAGTCAACGCATGATAGGATTGCTACGGTGCATAAAGCTAAGGATTACGTTACTTATATGCATATTGTTAATAGATGTGACCTTTGCAAGGGTGACTTGGAGACAACGCCACACCTCTTTTTTCTTTGTCCATTTACGTGTAGGATATGGAGATGACCACCCTGCATAGCTCGGTCAAATGGATACTCAAGAAGTACAAAGGCTCAACCTTGAAGGCGAAAGCTGTCCGACTTGCTTTCTGCGCCGCGGCATATCACATATGGCAGGCAAGGAACGCTTGTAGATTTGACGACTGCATGAAGACAGAAGATGAGGTTATTACAAAGATTAAACATGTGGTGTATAAGATACTGTTTTCCTTGTACCCACATGACTTGGTCACATTTTGAAGATGGACGTCTACCACAAATGGGGAGGCCGCGGCTTTTACCCTTGGAGTATTGTGATTGCACCGGGCAACTCGCTTGAATTTTTGCTCTTGCCGCTTAGGGCTATTTATAACCTCGTTTTGGGCTTGATTTTGACTTGAACATTTATGATCTGTGTGCGTGCATTGTTGGCAGCACCGATTTATTTTTGGTTCTGAGGCGGTTAGTATTGTATACTTAGGCCCCTGTGGAATTTTATTTTTGAAAAGATCAAATAAAAACATCTTTTAATCCCTACACTAGGTAGGGGTGGGGGTTTTTTAGGAGATCTTGAACCCTTGATGTATAGTTTTTCTTTGGGTGTTAATACAAATTTACATTTCATCCAAAAAAAAAGGTTATGTTACTTATGTTTCATTCTTTCAATAGTAGTTGCTCCATTTCCCATTTAACAATAATACCAAAATGTCATAATATGGAAGGAAATAAGCATAAGATCACGGAGAGAAAGTATAGTATGAACACTTAGTGATAGAGATTTTATTAATGGTGTGATAGAGGAGTGATTATGGTGTAATCATGGCGTGTTTACAATGAAGCAAAGAGCCTCTATTTATAGGCTAAACAAGTGATTAGCTCAACATGAGGGATTAATATTAGCCACATAATCATTATCTAGAAATCATAATCGTGATTTCTGAATTATCTTGATAATGATTAATGATGACTTATTAATCATGAATAGTTAGGAGATGACTAATTCATTATATTTCAACATGGTTTTTCCCTCATTATAGTTCATACTATTACTTATTTTTATTTTTCTTTCCCCAATTTTTCATTCTGGAAAAACCCCAATGGAGCATGTAAAAACAAACGGAGGGATTATAGTCATTATACTGTCAGTCTAATAAATAACTTTTAACAAAACTTTCCTTATTTCATCCACTTGCCTGAATGCCAAGTACAAATGAATGAACATTTTCTTCTTAACTTACTGAACTAACTAAAGAACATAAACAAATGGCAGGGTAGAACGAGGGCAAAACCCCCACCAAACAGGAGGTGCTTAGATCAGCCAAATTTACCCTTACTGCTGAGTAATCTATACACCCTAAAGTCATCCTCTCTTCTGTGGGACGACTTCAGTAGTTTCTATACCTGTTATGCAATGTGTACTTCACAACCTCGTAGAAGGAAACAACTATTCCGACTGATGGCCCAGCTCGCGCAACTCTTGGCCCAACTCCTGTGAACAATCCTCTCATGCCCCCATCCCTAGTGTTCACACACACAACTATACTTAGTTACCCATTACAAATGTATCTTAGCATTACCACTAAAGTAAACATATATGAGCACCCACGGGAATATATATGTAAAAAAGAATAGCCACGAGTTATACCTCCAGATTTCAATTAATGTTCTTCTAGTTGTCATCTCCAGCACTCTCTTAGGATCATTCTGAAAAATTCAAATCGAAAGGTAAATTGGTGAGTGGATGCCCCGCAAAAAAAAAGACATTTGGAGACTATAGTTGCGGGACGATGAAAATCAGATTATTCCGATATCATGGCTATGGAAATGTGGATGCTCTCATACTGATAACGACATTTTTTCCTTTTCAAAGAATTACAAATTTTTCACTTTGTCCGTCCCTGGAGATGATTTTAGAAAGAAACCACCACCCATTAAGGTACACACCTCTATTTGCCTACGGGTCCTTGCCACATCTAAAGGACATGTAGCAGCAGCAGCAAGGCTCCCTGCAATGAAACCGGCACTGAAGTTTGCGCCCATTATACTGCCTCCACTCCTTTCTTCATTCATCACACCCAGCACTTTTCTCCTAGTCTGCATATGATTTAGGTCTTTAGGATCAAGATGAAGAGAAAATACGCATGAAACCTGAAGAATACTTACTGGCTTTTAATACTTACTGGCTCAAGAGTTGACCAGCAGATTGCAGAGAAAGGGACATCCCGAGCAAGTTGTGCCCCCAGTCCTGTCCACAATGGCCGGTACACTTGAATTGCTAGTCGCGAAAGGGAAGGAAAAGAATTGAGATATAAAATGTTAGAAATAGCTTAATGTCTAAATTTCAACATGTTTAGATTGAGTGGTGCATTAAAAAGTGACCACCTGCACTTCTCTCTGCTATTAATTTTGTAGTTGGAAGAAGAGTTGTGGTGTTATCTAAGGTGTTTGGCACTCAGCAGTCAGTAGTTTTTTATAAATATTTTCTTGATCCTTTTATATCAGGTATCATTCTTTATACCTGATTTAATTTATGAATGCATACTCTCATATTTTAAGAATGCATACTCTCATATTTTACAATATGATAAATCTATCTTATGGATACAACGAAATAGGTTGTCCGTCCCCCCTTTCAAATAACTTGATTTCCTTATTGGATCATCCCCGTATAATCTTCTCATTTTCAACCAAGGAAAGAATTGTGTGGTTGATATTGATCCTTTGCTTTCAAAATACATATCAACCACACAATTCCAATTTACAAAAAAAAAGTAAATTTGGAAAAATTAATTAGGGGTGGATGGATTGCAATTTAAGAAAAAAACCAGTACTTAAAATTAGCACGTACTGTGCACTTCAATACTTCATACAGACTACCGTGAAGGTTTACAATCCAACTTACAGTGTTGATGCCCATTCGCACTTCGGACAGAAGAAATGATCCCAAACAATGTCTTCCACACTCCTGGGGGCTTCACAGTATTTGGGGTATCCCTGAAAGCCTATAATAAAAAGCTTAGGAAACTTTCCATATAGGCATGTCAAAGCCATTTTTTTCAAATATACAATAGTCAATACACAAGAGAAAGCAAAAGGGAGAGAAAAGGTGCTTACTTGCATCCGCGTTTTTGCAAGCTCAACTGGGTAGCAAGTGATACATGCTATTGACCTTGCCAATGAACCCGCAACTAAGGGTATATATGGAGAAACTATTGGGGCACTGTGCAAAGCATACTCTTCAAGAGAATTTCGGAAAATGTCATATAAAGGCAAATAGATCCCCACCTACATAAAATTGATTGAGTTGACAACACTTATTCAACACGATGCAAAACTACTAGTACGTGGAAATACCTTTATGGCTCAATAAATACCAAAAACAATCCTATGTGAAGAAGAACGTACAGAAGGGACTGCCAACGCCAAACTTGCAATCGTGCCTCTCCACAATCTAGTAAATCCTTCCTGCAAAGCCGTCTCTCATCAGCCGTACTCTAAGTCTCTAACATCTTCAAATGGATCAATTACACTGGAAGATATTAATATTGTACAGTTGTATCACTAATGTCATGGAAGTGTGGAACACAATAAGATGTACTTGTACAAATTGTTCTCCAAAACAGGTTTTTTTTGCGGATTCCAAAACAGATAAATTAAATGACTTTGTGTCTTAAAATGAGGAAAATATCATTTCCATATGAAAATCACTAACTTGGCGTATCACTTTGGAGAGGACATCCACAGTCCCTTTGTACCGAGCAGAATCTGAAGAGCATGCAGGCTCAGTGCCAAAAATTGCATTTGTGCTGCAGTTGCATTTCATATCCCATTTCTACACATACAAAAAAAAGTCCCTACTTTGAACAAAATAATAAATATTAAGAAAAAGAAAAAGAAGTTTTAATTGAAGCCAAGTGCATTAGAGACGCTGCCAACTTACAGTATGTGCTCCATGAGACTCCATCCTACCAATACCATCATAAGGGACACCAGCAGCCTGAGCTTGCAACCTTGTCTGAAAATGTAGGAGTAAAATGCAAATGATTCACAATGGCTTCTACAATTCAGCATGGATTAAGAACTACAACATAGACAAGTTCTAAAATCTCAAAGATGAAATCAGATTACAGATTAAAACATTTTAAAAGCAATACAATGAGAGAAATTGATCGGTTGGATCGAAAAAGAATTCATCATCATCATTACCCCAGTGGCGCAAAGGCTCCCACCTACGGTGGGGTAGGGGGTCGGATGTACACAGCCTTACCCCAGTACTAAAGCACACGGAGGCTGTTTCCGGATGACTCCATAGTGAAAATCGCGTCAAAAAGTTACATAGCCTGAGTGCTACTTCATAACAAAGAATAGACTGCTACCAAAGTGCAGACAGTTGAGTCATTTTGCTTTATTCCATCATACTCAAAGCCAAAAAATAGTGAGTTTTTAGCTCCATTGCAAATGATGGAAAATTAGAAAAAAGAAGAAGTTATCACTAAAAACTATGACCAACTGTTCCTTAGTTAATTTGGCAAGCCATAACAGAACTAAGGATCATGAAGAGCCTTTTGAACTAGCATCACAAAAATAGCATAAATACATACACTCATACACACACATGTTATACTGACATACACGGGCATGAAAATCTTGCAAACGAATAAAAGTGCCTTACCTTGGCGACATCAAGAGGGTTAACGAGGATTGCGGAGAGAACGGAAGCTCCGGCAGCGGAAATTGCTCTCTCTGTGAAACCTAAATTCACTTCCGTAACGGACTCAGCGTTGTGAGACTGCCGAGCTTCATCATTCGGCGTCGCTACAGAAGCAGCGGGGGAGCTCCTGTCCATGTCGATGCCGATCGCATTTCTGGTAGCTGCAGATGCTCCGAATGAAGGCAGGCCTTGCTTCGTAGCTGATGATCCTACCACCATCAGAATTCAGAACCAAAACTTTTTGTAGGGCTTTTTGTAAGAAGTTGGAGAACGACGGTCTGTTTGTTATTCGTGACTGTCAAAGGAAGCAGAGAACGCGAAGAATTGGGACGCGAGACGGCGAGAGCATCTCTAATTCTAATTTTACAAGTCACGACATCACATTAAAAATAGTTTCGAAATTTCCCAAAATAGGACTCACGTATTTTTATTTTCAAAATAGGAATAATTACTGTCAAGTTTGGAAAATACTGTCATGTTTGAAGTTTGATACTGCCAAAATATGACAGTAATTAATCCTATTTTGGGAATAAAAACATGGCAGTCCCATTTTGGAATTTTCAAACATTTTTAGTCATATTTCGGTTAATTCTGATAGGATTAAATAACTTTACATATCTTAAAAAGAAATTCGTTTGATCATACTGTATCTTTTTATGAAAATAAAAGAATGACTTTTAATCAAGAAAAAAAATAAAACAATTTTCAGACACTTACGACAGATTCAAACGTAAGTCCAAAAAATAGACAAAAAATCAGTCAACTCGTACAAATCAATTTGATTCGTTATACACAAAACACGCCATTTTAAACCTAAAACATTTGGAACCGAAACACTGCCTCTCAAAAATACTTTAAAAATTCAAATATCAAAATCAAGCTTAGTCGGACTCACTTTCTAAAAATCGCTCCAGGTGTCCGACTAGTCCACGTCTAGGCGATAGGCAGTGGTCGGACACCCTGACTAATTGGTTTGGCGCCTTGGTGAATTAATCGGTTGCCTAAGGCTCCAAGTTGTCCGCCTAGAACGCCTAATCGCCACCTAGGGCGTCTTGATTCGCCGAACAATTTTTTTTTAATTTTCTTTTTATTAGAGATATATGTATCTCTAACTTTAATCATGAATATGAAGAAGGTACTAGTAAATAAAAATAAAAACTATATATATTTGTGTAAATACTTAAATTTTATTATTATTTAATATTTATAACATAATGCAGTTATGTGATTGGTTACCATATATTATTAAACGTGATAATTCTATCATTCATGCATGTTAATGTGTGTGTGCATATTTTTCATGCACACACAAACACAATACTATAGTTTCACTACGTATTACTTATCATATTCATGCAAAAATATTGATAAAAATACAATTTATGTGGCTCCGATTAGTCCCTGCCTAGGCGCCCGTCTAGCCGCCTAGGCGTTGGGCTGGCACCCGACTAGCGTCTAGCGCCTTTTATAACATTGGTCGGACTAAAATAAAAATAAATAATACTTCCTCCATCCCTCTATTATGGTCCCATTGCGATTTACAATGCTTTACCGACGATAAAGCAAATGGATCCTTGTCCGCACTCAAATTATTTTTAGGGAAAAAAATTACATATTCAGAAAATACTTTAAAAGTTTTGCAAAGTCACAAAAACCAGAATCAAATTTATACAAATTTATATTTAAAGTAAGAGATTAAGAGTGATTTGTGTTGATCAAGTAAATAGAAACTGGGATAATAATAGTGGGATGAAGAGAGTATTAAAGAAGAAATAATTTTGTAATAAAGAATTTTCACAAAACTCTTCTTGAGGCGGAAGTGGTTCCGAATGAGTACGAGCTGTTTCAATATGCGAGAACATTAAATTCATCTTTTTACTTCGTTCTGAAAAGACGTAGATAGAAACAAGTGGAGACACAAACATTGTTTATACACCTTCCATACTCTACAATATCCAAAAGAAAGCAGACAAAAACTCTTGACCAGACGAAATTGACCGGGACACCAAAGCAACTCCCTACATTGAGGGAGACGAAACACGCCGGAGCACCAGGGCCTGGAAAGAACAACCATAAAACAGAACAAGCACAATAACCAAAAAAGAACAATCAAGTTGGATCATAGTCCTCCAAAAGATCTATGTGAGCGATGTTACTTTCAATTTAGCCGGAGAGAGAATGACTATAAGCTAAGACAACCATCTTCTTCCCAATCCCCCGCTCATCCTTATTGCACTAGAAATATAGATCTGTGGTGTGCTGGTAAGGATGTGTATAGGTAGATTTGTGAGCGTTGCACCCATTTCTTCCCAATTTGCTTCTGTTTTCATTCTATTTCGAGTAATTTCTATAATAAAAATTACCTCATCATCAATTCTACATCTTCTTAATATTCACGTCTCTAATACAATAATGCTTGTATATAAGTAAACAACGCATAGTTTTAACACATTGTTTTACTTGATCATTATGTTAAATTTCAAGGCAGTTTTAACCACATTTTGCATTGTATTATGTAAATACAATGAATTTTGCACTAGAGATGACAAAATATTTTGCACATTTTTTATAAAGCATTACAACGAATTTGCATGTTATTTAAAAATAAATTAAATATCTCGTCACACAATATTTTTTATTTACATGCAAAGTGATTGTTTTCCCAAACTTACATACAATCATTTCGTGTGCATAGTTTTAACGCATAAGCGAACAAACAATCCCTCATAGGAAAAAGTTAATGTCAATTTTTATTTTCTTATCAAAGTAATTTTTTCATTCTTACTTTCAATAGTTTTCATTATTTGATTCTTTTAATAAATTAAATAAATATTAATTTAAAAATAAAATATGTTGATATACTATTGTATAGAGATCGATGTGGGAGAACTAAAGAGAGAAGTGATTTGTATAAATGATTTATTCAACGCCTTTACATGGCTCTCAAAGAGGGTTTGTATAGGGGGGTGTGGGCTATGCTTCCAGACCTGAGGCTTGCAGAGTTGCAGGCCCAATTACAATAAAAACTAATAAATAATATAAAATATATTTTAATGGGTATTTACAAATAAACAAAGTGTACAACAATAAAAATGATATCTACTGAGCGCATGTGGGCCGTTATCCAGGCCCAGCTAGTCATGAGATCGAGGGGTCCAAATCCTTATACTTTGCCAAAGAGTATAACACTCCCTGATGCGAAAGTACTCGAGGTGAAAGAGAGTAGAGCTATGTGCTCATTTTCTAGGTGCCGATTTGCCATCGTCAGGTGAAGTAAACTTATGTTGTTGTCGAGGCACCCCATCCCCAGGCCGTTGATCCAATCTCATTGGCAAGCCATAATAGAGCAACCTTGTGGAAGAATCCTCAATCAAAGGCCGCGGGCCATAAGTTATCACAATCGGTCGTGGGGCCAAGAGGCTTTGTGTATGTACTTATCGATTGTTGTGACAACTGAATTTGCATGTGATGTGATGGTGTGGTTGATGGATGCATGTGGCAATCTTTGTAAAAGAAATTGAGTTTGTGCTTCATCGACTAACAGAGGCGCTAAGTTCCCCATTCTTCGAGTCTCCCACTCTTTGAAACTAGTGTAGTAAGGTGAAGAGGAGTAGAGTACTGCATGTCTCGTGATAACTACTTTAGGGGCCGAGGATCGACACCTTTTGTCCACAGTGGGGGGATGCCTCGTTAAAAACCTCACTAGAAAAAAATCTTGTGGGAAAAAATTCCATTGAAGGAAAAAGAGTACACCCAGATGGCCCCCAAAATGAAGTAAAAGGAGTGAACCCTTCAGTGGTTGCGTGCAGCTGCAACACTCGCCATTTGCTGAGGAGATAGCCGAGAGTGGCCTTCGTGTTTGAGCAATGATCGTCTGATGCGCCTGGGAGGATGCAGTGAGCAACTCACTATGATATGTAGTCCTAGTCATCAAATAAGGATGACTATGAGATAGGTAGAGTGACCGTCTATAATATGATGTCTGAGTCATCAAATAAAGATGGCCAAGAGGCCTATGTAAACTCCAAGTCATCACATAAAGATGACTAGGAGTTACGGCCAACTCTTAGTGGTTGATCCAGAAACACGTCTCTGGGGTTAAAGTTTAATTATATACAGTATCAAAATGGTGGATCTTTATTTAACAATACTTGAGTCGATTGTTTTGTATGTAGCTGAGATAAATGGTAGTTTCATGAGGCCATATTGTTATTGTATTGATATATATATATATAATGTATTATAAACTTCACATAACTAATGAGTGAATAAGGTGTTTTATTTTTAAAGTTGAGCATATAACCAATATTACGCATTAAATTCCGCTCATTTCAAGTTTAATTAGATAATGCCGATTTTCCGGAAGTTGAAACTTTTTATTTGTACTGAGTTACCGGACTCCTAAAATATTAAATTGAGGACATTTCATATTTCAACATTCTTGATCTTTCAGGGAGGGGTGGTCACCCTAACCCCTGGCTCCGTCCCTCAGTGAGAGGCTTCTATAAACTCCGCTTCATCAAATAAAGATGAGTAGGAGGTGTATTATTGTGGGGCCAATGGAATTTTGAGTGTCTCGTCTGTTCAGTCAAATCCCGTAAGATATCTGCAATGATCAACCATTCGCGAAAGAAGTGGTCGATACTAGTCTTGCAATAAAGATAATGGTTTTCATCTATGAAGACGGTGAGCGAGCCCAATCATAAGGCTAGGACGATGGTTTTGGGAGATCGTCGTAATATGAAGCCGAGGTGATGGGGGATTGTTGTAATATGAAGGTGAGGCGTCGGCGTCCTCAAATGATAGCATCGTGTCCTTATTACAACAGGCTCTTGTCATCTTATCGCCATGTTCCGAATGTAACATTGGTCGATTTCAGTTTCGTTCGGATCGGTTTCAGTTTTTTCGATCTGTATGTTAGCCCTTATATATAAGCTGTTAATTACTAGGTATTATCTAATGATCTTAATTTTTTTTACCTATTATTGCTATTGGTATGCTGCCCAATTATGTATACATTATTCCAATTAGGGAAAAGGGGGGCAAATAAGCCCTCGAACTAACAAAAAAAGTGCAAATAAGCCCTTACGTAGGAAGTTATGTCCGGCCATCGTCATTTGGGGAAGTTTCCGGTGGAATTTTTTGATGAAATGTTTTGAGCATCTTCTTCATTAAGTCTAGTTTGGTCATACCAAATTTCAGCTAAAAATTCAATCGGGAAGGCAGTCAAATGAATTTTTGAAGATAACTGCGTAGTTAAACAGCGCAGTATATCTCAGAAAATCATTTGACTGCCTTTCCGGTTGAATTTTTAGTTGAAGT